TACATACATACATACATACATACATACATACATACATACATACATACATGTGTATATGTGTGTGTATGTAGTTGTTTGAATTGTTTAATATATGTTGTAAATAAACTGTTCCCGAGATCCAGTACGAACACCATGGGGCCGATGCTTTTTCACGTATGCCCCAAAGAAGCAGCAAGTGTCGCAGTAATGGACAAAACCATACAAAACCAACTAGCAAGGTGCCCATGGTCACCAGCATGTATCCTGCAACGTAGAGCAGCACAAAAATCATTCCGAACCTTACGCTTCGAGCGGTGAACTCTTCTTCAGAGCAAAATGCACAAAATGGATCACAACATATCACAAGGAGCAGGAACCAAAACACCTGAAAATAAAAAATACTCCTGTCACTCCTGTCCTCCCTGCTGACTAACCACCATACACCGTGGAATTGATGCTTTGCACATCCTTGGACCTTGAAACCTTGGACTGTTGCTGAGCGAAAATCTTGAAGGAAAGGAGCTGGTCATTTTCAGAGAGCAGCAACGCAACTGGAAAGCCCTCTTCAGTTATGCACTCGCCAGAGTAGCAGCGGAAAGCCGTGAACATGGTCGAGGGCACAGACCTGTTCAAGTTCCGCTTGGCTTCGCTACAACCAAGGAGGGTGCTGCCTACTGATGGAACCCAGTTCAAACAAACAAAAGTACAACTGGACGGCCTTGCTATGCCTTGCTCGGTTTTCGGCAGTCTCATTGTAGATCTGAAAGAACCCTTCGCTTAAGGACAGAGGAATGCAACCCCTATCTCGTGCAGCTGCCCCGTCGCCTTTACCTTCTCGCAGTTGCAACCCAAGGCTTACCTTTTAAATCCTGTAAACATACCCCCTCCGGTTGAGATTGGTGAATTGCATCCACCGAGACCGAATTTGGCGGAGCTCGTGTATCAAACTCAATGTCGATTCAGATTCATGATTCGAGCTTGACCATGTAGAAGCGACACAACTGGGAAATGGATTCTGATTGCGACTTGTGGAAACCCATTTGACCCTCGGACGAAAGTGCAAGGCCGTGGCGGCCGTGATCCCGTGAAAAGCACAAGCTCAAATGACCAGCACTCGTCTTGACCATAAAGACTGATCGAATCAAGTCTGGAACGCGTCGCAATTCCAAAGGATGGGAAACACTTGGCTCTTCAAGTTTGAGATCGAATGGCGGTGATGGATACACTTCGCCCCCAGATCGTTGTTGGTATTCCTACATTCTGCCTCTTCTGCTTGCAATAATTTCTTGGCAGTTAAATACTACCTTCATGCTTCGATTTCTCTGTGTCGGCCTTGCTGGCTTCCCGCCAAGTCAAGTTTTCCTAGCTACCCCTCTGCAAATCCCAGCCTGAAAAGAATTTGCAAGTTGCCATCCAGGTCGGGTGCACGACCAATGGTGAACGTGGCGAAGACCGCAATGATATAGAGCACCACGAAGAGCAATGCAAATGCGCACACGAGGGTTCGAAGCCCACCCAGGAGGCCCTTCACCATCAATTGTAATTCCTGAAGAGCTCAGTCTCTAAGACCGAAACTTGCTTGTCTTTGCACAAACGGTCCCCCGACAGAATCCCCTGCCTTGATGAATTTGAGACGGAACACCTGGGCCATGTGTTGCAGACTTCTTGTGTGACACGTAAAGTGGCCAACAACAATGCCTCCGACTGTCACTAATGGGCCCCAAATGATCTATATATGGTGTTGGCATTCGTTGTCACAGTCCCTCAGTGACCCTCAAATGATTCTAAATCCAGGTGCTTGGATAAAATTCCTCTATATAAATACTATATGTATATTATATATTATCCTTGACTGGCTGTTGCAAGCGGGAAGGCCACGTGCATCAACGCGCTACGTGCATGAGTGTCATCGGGAATACATGTCAGATCATGTCAGGTGGAGCACAGTAACCACAAAAATCCCTCAGGAATTGAAGGTTAAAACAAACACCCCAAGGGGGACACATTCAGCTGCAACCTTTTGAGCCAAACAAGAGTCCCAAATGGTCCAAATGAGATCAAATGTTGTCAAGCGAGGTTTGCTGTTTGGGGACACTTGTTGAACAGCGACTTGTTTACCACGTTGATCTTCCCTCGTCCTCTCTGGTGTATTTTCAAGTGCTAGGAATGGATGCTACAAGCACCGAGCTTAAATTACACCAGGCGAAGAGTGATCCCCATGCAAAAACTCCAATGCAACCGAATAGCATGTAGCAATCAATGTAAGCAAAGCAATGCGGCGACGAAATCAATGAATTTTGCACCAATGGGGCAGTAGCAGCAGCAAGCAAGCAAACAAGCAGTGCATGAGCAGCTGCAAACCAGCAGCAGCAGCAGCAGAGGTTGAGTCGAGATCACCAAAAGATACACGGCTACCGCTAGGAATATGGAGACAACTTTGAACATATCAACATGATGCACCACGCGCACGGCCCCCCGATACGACTTTCCACAGGTTGATACAAGGTAAACCGAGCGCTATTAAACAACGTTAGAGCTGTTATGGCTCCAAGTAGCCTTGAACATCCTGGTCAGCCTGGCCAAGCGAAAAGCTCTCAGCAGTTGCGTTGGAGACTCTGCCGATGCATCAGTGATCAAAGTCATGCAAACATCCACCTCAGGAGCTCGGTATCCGCGGACTCTTTTTCCTTTCTGCTTTTAGCCCGTGGCCCTGCCTCCTTACTTAATTTAATTAAGTAGGCAGTAGGCGCCTACTTAATTAAGGGCAACAAGTTCGCTCCTAGCTACTTAAGCTACTAGTAACTGAGTGCAGGATAGCTCACGCTCCATCAAGGAAGCTCCCCCTGCCTGAGGGCGTGGGAGAGCTTCCTTGATGAAGCGCTCGCACTAATGATTTGGTTCCTAGTAGCTTCCTTGTTCCTAGTAGTAAGGCCAGGAGCCCCTGATAGCATCTTTGTTCCTAGTAGCGATGCCAGGAGCCCCTAGTATATAGCTTCCAGACCCTAGAGATTTGGTTCCTAGATTTGAGGGAAACTCAACTTGGTGAGTTGTAGACTCTACTCATTGGGCATCAGTGGTGCGTACGGCGTATAGCACGCACGAACGCAAAGCTGCGCATTCCGAATTCCTGTTGAAACACGGTATCATCAGTGCATTTGGCATGCGGGCTACTTTGACATTTGCGGTGCGCACCAAACAAAGTCCCAAACATTCCTCTCACCAACTGGCACCCGCAAAAGGATCGTCTCCGCCCGTCCAACCATTTCCCACTGTTCCAAGCGACAATGCTGGTGACAAGCAGGAAGAGGTCGAAATAGTTCCAATTGGACTCAATTCCACAGAAGTACTCTTGCTGCCCAAGTATCCAAAGCCTGATGAAGGCCTCACAGAACATAAAGGCCGTGAAGCCCAGCTCGATCCAGGGCCAGCCGGGCCACTCCTGGAGTGCTTCATCCTCGGCTCCCAAGATCGCCCCGCAATGCCATTCCCGGGTGCCCTGAAGTCAGGTCTCAGCGGTGGGAGGCCCTGCTGAGTTGCAACTCTCAGCAGCTTAGCGTCGCAACGAGTTAAAACGGTTTCTGACGTTTCATGGGTCGGACACTGTGGGTCTACGGAGTCCGTGGTGAATTGGGCCCACTTTGTGCAAAGAAATGGACAATATGCAATTTTACTTGCAATTTTGATCAACATTGTTTCATTGTGAAAACGGCCATCTCAGGACTGGGGCGGGAACGACCGTGACCCAAGTGGGGAGCTTCTAGGCAAAGCAACCTTGTCCACTGTCCAAGTGATTTGTGCAGAATCCCACTTCTCTTTGTGGTGTTTCAAAGCCCCTGCGCAACTTGGCAAATTTCAATTTAGATGAGAATGCCACTTCACATGGAAAGTTCACCACCTTATTGGCAATCTCGAAGGTTTTAAGAACAATTACTGCATCATACACTGCATTTACTTCTGCAGGAGTGGGAAAGCGCACAATAAAACCATCCTGTTCAACAGCGGTTTGAGCAGAGAATAATAGTAATAAACGCATCGAACTTTGCCATCCCTGAAGAGTGTTGGACATGCAGTCCGCCGCCAGCGGAAGAAACACACCAGAACTATAAGAAGTTTGACAACTTCTGCACAAATGACTTCCGAATCTGTGTGTGATAGTGACACTACACAGGGACAGACACACACACAAATTTTATGTTTTATGTGACATATGTGTGATAAAATGGTTCCATGTGTATAGTAACAGCTGCTTCGGGACATTCTGTAATCCAGTGTGCTAATGAAGCCCCTGCCTGCCTTAGTGTACATTGAGCTATGAAGGGAAGGGTGTACAATAGACTCTTACGCACCAGTTGCTCTTGTTAGTTTCTTGCTTTTAATAGATGGGCTGGAAAAGTCCTTCGTTGCAAATGAAAGCATCTGTCTGGACTCCTAAGAGCACAGCATTGATGGTGATCATAATCGCAACAAAGGGCTCAAGGAACAAGAAGGGATCCCGCGCAGTCTGAGGAGCTGCCAGGTCATTGATGCGAACCTGAACAAGGGCGAGCTTGGACAAATGATCATGGTCTCAAGTAGAAACGGTCTCCAAGACGTGTTCAATCAGGATTCGCTTTTCTGTGAACTGCGGAAACTCTCAGCACTTCAACTCCATTCCATATCCCAAGAAATGACTCAGATCGCCACCGCAAAACACAAATCTGTGGTTGAATGTGCCAGGAAACAAATGTGAGTTCTGCAACAAGCCGGTTTGTGTCACTCGCGAGTAGGATCTCTTTCATTGCCCAAAAATGCTCAGCGGATGACCTAGGTCACAACAAAAAGAGTCAAAAGGAGCTGCTCGTGGCCCGTGGCTTGCAATGCGATGCGTGCATGTTTCTGGTGCCATTTGCATGCACAGGAGAAAGAGGATCTAATTCAGTGCGAGGCTCCCGAAGATCTTCCTTGCATCAGCATCCAAAACAAAGGCCAAAACCAAGGCACGAAAAGGAACAACATTCCACTGTCGAGCAGGATTCTCTGCAGGAGTTCTGGACCTCCAAAAGCCCACTTCATTTGCATCGTCCGGCCACTTCCATTGTGGCTTTAAACTTTTGAGATCACCACCAATATTGGTCCCATGCTCCCGAGTAGACCCCATGCCAGATCTGCGAGTAGTCGCTGTGTTGCTGGTCCTAGCTACTCGAGCCACTCGAGCCTTTGTGTCCCGGTGTTCCAGTTCCAGATCTACAAAGTCCTCGGAATCGATTCTTCATGATTCATGATTCTTTGGAACGGGAAATGGTTTCTCACATTTTATTGTTTAAACACCTTCAACACCCAGGAGATTGCATTCAGAGATTGCACATGACGGCTATTGAATTTTGGATAAGCAGCTGCAAGCTTGTTGACCAAAGTGTTCACGTCTTGCAAGGAGAACCTGGTAAGACCCAAAGCCACAGCTGCATCATGAAGATCCTTCCCAGTGATCATTCCACTGCGAACGCCTAAGCGCATCCGCAAGGTTTCAGCCGTATGGTCTACTTGGCTGTCAAGCGTCTGCGCTGTGATCGTCCTGCAGGGCGGGCGCTCGAAGGCCCCCGACTACGACACAAAACGAACACCACGCAATCCAAAACTTGATAGCTGGCCATTTGACTGCATGTCGTGCATGTCGGACAACAACATACGTGGCTCAAAAGTTTGCTGCGTACTCACCGGTCTTGGTTGCCTTCAATCGAGGAGATCCCAACCAGCCGCAAGCATACCGGAAAAGGAGACCGGTCCGCTCAAGAGCCACAAGGCAAACAGACTGGCACACAGGCACACTCAGCTCCACGAACATCCGGGCACCCGGGCACAGTCACAGTCCACGGGATGTTGATCTTGTTTAGGTTGTTGATGATGATGATGATGATGATGATGATGATGATAGTGGTCCTGATGATATATGATGACATTGATCATTACTTGATTTTCATGGTGATGTTGACGGCCATGGCGACGGTGATGATATACGATGCACATGATCTTGGCCCTTGGCGCTGGTGACGTTCATGCTAATCGTTGTCATGTCGTTGGTGATGATGCGCGTGATGGTGTTGTAATGTTGAATCATGACAATAATGATGTTGATGATGAAGTTGACGGTGACGATGAAGGTGATGATTGTTTTTAAAAAAATGAGTGATGGTCAGCATGCCGATGATGATGATGATGATGATGATGATGATGATGATGATGATGATGATGATGATCATGATCATGATGATGATGATGATGGTGATGATGTAAGTCCCCCATCATGCTTGCTGTCATCGCCGTCATCATCACCATCACCTCCACTGGCAACATCATCACCATCATCGAGCCATGATGGTGGTATATGATGGTGATGATGATGGGGATGACAGTTAGGATGAGGATGGTAATCTCAGCTACGGCAGCTGGACTTCATCAACACATGAGTGTGCAATATCAGCATACTACGGTTCAAACGACTTTTCAACCAGCCGGAGATCAAGTTCAGGGATCAAGTTCAGGGCCAGCTTCAGTGTGCACATTGTGACGCCACCTTTCTGACCCTCATCAGGGCGCTGAAACACCATATCGCGAACCACTGTGAGGCCTTCATGAATGGCACGGCTGAAATCCCCATCCTTTGGACACCCTGTGATTCTTGCTGGGCTCAACGAGGGAAGATTCGACCATTTGTTGGGATACAAAAGCTTGGTGAGACGTTTGGGGCTCCGGCATGGACATCTGTCACAAAGTTCCACTTCCCTCTTGAAGCACTTATGCACAATTGGCACGAGGCAACTAGGTATGCTGAGTGGCTTCAAACTCAGACACAAATGGCTAGACTGGGTTTCGCAGGTGCCAGGCCGGTAGGGGGAGCTCATGTTTGCACACTCTTCACCCACCTGAGCCTCCACTACGACTTGCACACATTTAGATACATTTAGACATTCAGGTGAGGATGTCATCTTGACTGAGGCTTTGAAGCTGGATCTCCATGTCCTAGCTTGACCCATCCAGACCTGACGAATTGCTGGTGTAGGGACGCTTCGCCTCCATCCTTGCCGATGCTACTCTCTGCGCTGCTCTGAGTCAATGCTGCTCCTTATGTGGACGCTCGGTCAGTGCTAGTGACATATGTATCTTCACCTCAGACATGAACATTCCCGGGACTACACTCGAGGGTCACTATACTATCGATAATTACTTGTTCGACATGACCCAGGCCACACCTCAATGTTCAGTTTGCAATCTTGCAGCACATGAGTGCCCAGTACTGTTGCAGCTAGGAGTCTTATTGCGTCGTTTGCATCATGGCATGGCCATGGAAACAGACAAGAAGACGAGATGCGTCAAGCCCAGGTGTGGGAAACAGGCGGAGCAGGACTACATGCCTTGGCCCAGGATCCAGCATGATGAAGATGATGAAAGCCACAGAGGAATAGCACCTGACCAAGCCCCAAGATCGTTTTCTGCCATTGAATATTAGGATTTTGAGAGTGCTTTTCGACCACCACGAGACCCTGTGGGCAGCTGCCGGCGCTTTGAGTGAGAGGCTGATGTGTCAATTTGAGCGGAGCCCACTGCCGGGACGACAGTGTGCTTGCCAACCATGCTACCAGGAGATTGAAAGCATGGATGAACACACCTGTCCATGCCTCATGAATTGTGGGATGCTTCATCTTTTTCTGAAAGGGCGGCGCCAAGCAGGGCTCACCACAGAGCCCTTGGCCTTGCAGCTCGCAAGTAATTTTGATTAGGCCATCCGTGGCTTGTGCAGTACCGACCCGTCTTGAATGATGGAAAGAGTCAACGCGACCTCCTGCACTCGACGGCTTCCAAATGAAAAATTATGATGATGATGATGATGTAAGTCCCCCCATCATGCTTGCCGTCATCGCCGTCATCAACATCATCAACGTTGACACCATCATCACCATCACCACCACTGGCAACATCATCGCCATCATCGTTACCATCATCAAGCCATGATGGTGGTATATGATGGTGATGATGATGGGGATGACACTTAGGATGAGGATGGTAATCACAATGGTGATGCGGTGACTTATGAACATACGTGGAATTATGTGACGCAGTCAACGTGACTGTTGAACAAGTGCCTGGCTTTATGATTATATAAGATATATATTTCATTGTTGCCGTTAGTTACACAAGGAGACGCTGAGATGCCCAAACTTCCGCGCAAATGCATCCAACCATTGTGCCACCCTTCTACACTCCCCAGAAAAACGAGAAGCATCCAATTACAGCATATTACGGCCATTTGCAGGCTGCACTTACGCTTTGGCTAGCCACGGCGACATTTCGATCATTCTAGCGCATGTCTTGCAAGAAAGCCTCTAGACTCTAGACTCTAAACATAGCCTGGTGGTGATGGTGTCAAAAATAACGGTGATGATTACGAAGGTCATGAGGATTGTAGACAATTATGATGGTGGTGGTGATGTTGACGACAGCCTTGATCATGGTGATTATCATCATAATCATGATGATAGATGACAACACATGGCCGGGCTTAATATTTCCTGTTGATTAATTCTTGATGTTTTTGCAATTATCTATAATCTGATGGTTGAAAAAAGGAGATCTCGGAGATGCCCAAACTTCCGTGCAAATGCATCCAAATGGTATGCCACCCCTTCTACACTCCCCACAAACAATGAGAACACTCCGGGAAAGTGAACACCGAGAAGACTTCCAGGTGTGTGTAGTGAGCTTCCTTTTGTCAGCTCGTTTGGCAACATCCGAGGGACCCAGCTCTGCAGGAGTGGTTGGACAACACTGACATTTGGGCACATTTTGGCTCACAACTCACAACATGTTCCATGATTCACAAGCACCATGAAACGGTGCAACCCCCGGTCCTGTCAATGTCTGCAGCTTTCGCCTCTCCTGTTCTTTCCTCTATCGCACGAACCATGCTTTGATTGGAACCGCAGGAGATGTAGGAGTCTGCCTTGGACGAGTCCGGGGTTCGTGCTGGCTGCAAATGATTCGGCTCAGGCGGCTGAATGCTTTCGGCAGCATCAGAGCAAGACACTTGTCTTGGTGTCTTGGGCGGGGATGGATCTGATGCAGGGGACCCATTGTCATCTGCTCCAGACTTCTCCGGCTCGCCTGCCATCATAAAGGCTGGTCGAATGCTGAGAGGAGGATGGACAATCTTTTCCTCGTTCCCCTCGTCATTGGATGATGGGCTCAGGTCGCCCAGGAAAGTCAAGGCATTCGGCTTCTTCTTGCTAGGTGGGCTCGGAGATTCCTTCCTAAAACAAGGAATCAGCAACTAGCAAGCAAGCAACTGAGCACTGGGCACTCCTACACATGGAAGGAACAAATTCAGGCTCTGTGGCAAGACTACAACAAGGGGTCCATGTCCATGTTTGCTTAAAGAAATGGTTCCAGAAATTCTGACCTACGAACCGCGCCATGTTTGCTCCACGTTTTGTGTGTTTGACGAACAGGATCACACCAGTGAGAAGAACCAAAGAGTCAGAGTGGTTCCAGCCTGGAAAATCTGGATGAGGTCAGGGAGGTCCTAGTCAATGATGAGCGGCTGGTGTGGTGCGCCTGGAGCGAGTCTCTCGCCACTTGGTGTGAATGAAGCGCTGGCGAAAACAAACGTCAGTCTTTCACCGTGGTTTCACCTGAGAATTCGCTCTCACGTGGTGTTTACTTTGTGTCCTGCCTCAAGGACCTGCTTCCGGAAAGAATTCAATGCATTATCAAGATATTCTTGGAAACTCTTCCCATCCATGGCACACGCGTTCATCACGAAACCCTATGTTGGCCCAAGTGTCGGGCAGCTTGATACAGCAGTTGTTGCCAGATCACGAATCAACTTGTCAATTGTATGATGTCTCTCACTGCAACTGCTGACCCAAAAAGGTCTCAAAAAGCATTTCTGAGTTCAAAGGCTGCTTGGAACACGGACTTGGCATAGTTAAAATATCTCAACATCATCGCAACAACAACTACATCCAGAGAGTGCATGGCATTGAAATGAAATGGTTCAGCAATGTCCTTATGTGGCGGAAGGGATGAGAAGGTGGGCAATGGTGAGGTCCTTCTGAGTACGTCTCAGTTTGACCAAGGTGGGGGTATGCAAATTGTCCACTTTGTTTTGCCCTCCGCATGCAGAAGTGCGGCTGAAAACAGCACGCCTGACATCACAAGGAATTGCAAACATGGCTTTGACCTTATTGCACAAGCACCTTCCATAACCCACCCACAGTTTGCTTCAATGACCTGGCCACACTCCTGGCCACTGGCTGTAGCAAGCTCAACTGACTTTAGACAGAAGCGTCAGAAGCGTTACAAACTTGAGCCCATCCAGAATTACAAAGCAGCAGCAACTTAAATGATTTAAGGACAAACAGTCACACATCACCCATCAGCCCAACTGTAAGCATTCTTCAGGCTCTCCTGCCTAGAGCGTCTGTTGGCATCATCCAGTTATTCCTGCTTGCCTGAGAAGTGCCGCATCAAGCCCCTGTCGCTCAAGCTTGGCTAATAGATCCTTGCCTTGACACAGCGTCTTCAAACGTGCAGGCATACTGACTGACGAGAGTGTTCTACAAGGCTGGAGGACTTGCAAGGCTGAAAACCAGAACCAAAGATGCCCAAACACACATGTATGTCGTGTTACCGCATGAGCTTGGACAATAGGAACAAACAGAATCTACCTTTGCCTGTCCCCGGTCCCTGCCTTTTTTAAGCAGCTCTTGATCATTTGCATTCACATCTCCATCCGCAGAGCGAACAGCTCCAGGTCTCACCAGTGGCTCGCTGGAAGGTTTGGTCTCGCGACCCCTCAATTTCTGTGCCCTCGCCCATGCCAAATCACGCACCCTGGAAGCAGATTTCACCTTGGACAGTTCTGAAGGATGGACACGTTCTGAGCCTCAGCCGTCCCCCGTGCATCAATGTCATTCCAACATCACCAATGACAAATCTTCGCTGCAGTAGTCCCATTAGTCTTTCACCTGGCTTTCAATGGCAAAAAGTGACCAGCTCCAGGTCGAAGTATTGCAAACTGCCTTACTTCCGAATTGAATCTAAGATATGGACGGCTGCGACCAAAATGGGCTGCCTGCAGGTTGGGCTGATGTGCAATCCTTGACCTATTTGAGTGGGCATAAGTGGGGTCGCTCTAGCTACTTGAAACGAAAAGTACTACAAAGAGTTGCACAACATTGCACAAAAGTGTCCTTCAACAAAACACAGTCGAGAGCAAAAGCAATCTGCTGTGGCCATCCGTGATGCTTTTCTATATGCATTGTCACTTAGCCACTCCGTTTGAAGAGCTCCTCCCACGATGGAGGCATGCCGGGCCGAGGCTGAGACGGAAGCTGTGGCTCATACAGTTGCGGCGGTTGCTCGTAAGAAAGCCCCGCATTGGCCACATCTGCTTCATTCTCACGCGTGTATTTCGCCAAGATTTTGTGCTGGTCTTGGACAGGCTTGTAGCCTGACTCCATTCGCTGCAAAATGGGCAAAGCGTCCTGGCCAAGCAAGTATTCAAAGTCCTTGCCAGCAGTCTCGTACAAACGCTTGGCATCTTTGAGCCGGCGCTCTTGGCTTTCCGCATCCAAGCCTGTCCATCGGATGATATTGGCTGGTTGGTTGTCCTGCTGCCAGGCTGCTCGTTGGGAAAGCTCTCCAAAGGCCGTTGCCAGCAGCACCTTGGCTTTTGCTTTGGACTGCATTGAGAAGGGAAGCAAAACATCCAGCTCTGCCAAGCACTCCTGAGCTGCTGCAGTAGAGCTGTCTGTTGGAGGCCTTGTGGAAACATGGTTCGAGAGCTTCCCAAAAAGATGCTGGGTCTTCTCATCCGCTTCTTCATCATTGACTTCGCACCGATGGCAGCGACAAGTAAGATTTGGTACCCCGTTAAAAAGGAAGGACGAGCGTCGCAGTTTTGGTTGCAAAAGCACGGTCTCCGGAACGTGCGACACGGTAATTTCTTCCCTCCTCCGAATTCCATTGAGGCTGATGGTATGCAACATGCGCTTCCCTCTTGGAAATCCTTTGCGCAGGGTGAACCATGCAGCATTGGGTTTGCAACTGTGCTGGATCCGGCTGCAAATACTGTAAACTGCCCTGCTGCCATCTGCATTTTGAAGTCCAAACCGCCCAAAGATTGACGAAACCAGAATCACGTGGTTCCAATACACAGAGGGACGGAAATGCGGATGGTCCTGCAAGAATTCTTCAATACCTTGCCGGTTGGCAGCATGAATTGCACAAGCCACGGGGTCGTCTTCCATTCCATCCCAAAGCGCCAAAAACTCTTTCTGCTTGCGCTCATGCAGCTGGCGAAAGGCGACATACGCTGCTAGTCGGGAGCTATCTCCAAGTGCTGCTGCAAGCTCGGCAAACCTCGGATCGGCATCCTCGGCCTTCAAATACCGGTCAGGATCAGCTTCAACCAGCAAGAGTGGGGCTTCGGTCAAGATCGGCGTCCCCCACCGCAGCTGGCGAATGGCCACAAAAATGGAACGACCATCGCCTTTGGTCAGCTCCCCACGCACGACTGCCTCACTGCCTCCACCAATCGCCAAGGCGCTAAGGGCTGCACCGGGGCCGGAAGGTGACATGGAGAAGACGCGGCCAGAAGGCGCACGGAAGAAGACAAGACTCAACAAGTCACCTCTAAGTCAAACTGACAGGAGCAGTGCTGACAAGTCCGACACGTAAACCACCTCACCTTACAACACTACCAATCAATAATGGTTCAACCACATCATCTTGAGGTCACACGCCAACAATAAAATATACTCCGCTTGCAGTTTGTAGCATGAAGGTGCATGTCATCTCGAACAAGAACGGCTACTGCCCAGGGTCTGCTCTACATACATGCGTGAGATCCTTCTGGGAGGGAGTGCGCAAGAACGTACAATCCAATGTTCTGACATGTATGACAATGCATGGATTGCAATTTTCTCTACTGGCCCGGATGTCAAATTTAAGCACCAAAATCAAGAGAAGATCAAATAAACAAGCCTTAGGTTAGGTCCCTTGATCTCTCCCCGCCTCTGTGCTGAGTTTCTTGGCCGTAGTCCCTGCATCCTTCTGGACATGCTTGAAGTCTGCTTTTTGGTGCCTTTTTGCCTCCAGGCTCTGAGCTCCCAGTTTTGGAATCCCTTGCGGAAAGCCTGGGGATTGCCAGGGGCTGGGCCGCAAATCCGTTGCCAAGTCTTCACGAACTTCTTCCGCGATAGGATCCGCAGTTTCGCCCCAGCCGAGCCAATCATCCAACCCACGGCCACGGCCAAAGCCAAACTTTGACCTTTGACTTCTGCCACTGGTCGGGTGGCTTCCCGAAGTCACCACTTCCGAAAACGTCTTGGTCGCCCTACTAGCGGAAGGCATCCTCGCAGGCCTTGAAGGAGGCATGTCCTGCAGCGGTGTCACACCGCGCGGAGGGACCGCCGCACTTGCGTGGGGCTGGGTGTCCTTGGTGGAGCCGGCGATCTGTGGATTAAAGAGATCGGTCCTCTTCTCCATCACATCTGCCTTGTCTTCTTTCAATCCTGCCTGTACCGTGACCCGAGGCGGGCCTTCCCGAGCTGGTTCTTGGCCTTGGGCCTTGAGATGCGTGGGATCATTGCTGTCCCACTCTGTTGCACCTGTGTTCAAGTTCAGGCGGAAGAGCCGCCCTGCAGGATCGCGGAATTCTCGAATGGGCGATTGAGCCTCTGTTTGTTTACTGGCCTCTGTCCTCAGGGATTCAAGAACGCAAAGGCAGGAGTGACTGACAATAAATCAATTCTATACCATCTCTAGCTACATGTCCTGACAGAAGGAATTGCCAGAAAGCTGGCGACAGTGCATCTGCTCAGCAGTGTCCACACCGTCCACTTCATTCTCTGACACCTTACAGGCACCAAGTGTTGCACCCCGAGCTCAACTCAAAAAAGCGCGAAAGTCCGAATCAGTGCAGGCCGGGATTTCGATCGTGTATGATTTACTGCATGATCATGTCTCTTCGTCCCCTTCTTCATCTCTCTCTGTCTCAGACCCTTGCTGGCCAACCACTGCCAGGTCACCCGTCTTGAGCCCAGGAAAGTGTCGAGATGCATCATGTGGAAAAGGACCACCTACTGGTCAAAATGAACCGGTGAAGTCATAGAACTTGCTTCGACGATGACATGAACAAGATAGCTTACTATCCGTGGGCGCTCTAACCAGCTGAGCACATTGCACAGGTTCCACTTTTTGCTGCCAGCAATCTCTGTGCCAACGGCAGCAACTTTGCCTAGGCAGGGCCCTAAAAACAGGCCCTAAAAACAGCTGACGACAAAATGGGTCATGCAACCTCTACAAACATGACTTAATGTGAGCTCACCTGCGCTGAAACAAACACCATATATCATAACGGGTTCTGTGGCACTTTGCTTTAAGCTCTTGTAGTTGTCTTGCAAACTCTTGGATTTTCGGATCGATGTGGAGGAGCATTGCCAAGATTTGTCATGGAGCATTTGCATTTCCCGGACGCATGCGATGTTTGGTTGCAGGAAGCGTCGGTTATGTCTTGTAGAAGAGAGAATCAAACAGGAATCCATATTAGATAGATAAGAAAGAAAGAAAGATAGATAGATAGATTGATTTTAATTCTACACACTCAATATTCAGATTCAGTACAAGCATAAGAATGACAAGGAATCGAAGGAATAAGACGCGTTGCGGGTCAGCGTAGGCTGCTCGTGTGTCTCCTCGTATCTGCCTCAAGCATAGCTGACAGGCATCATGCAGCATGATTCAGCATGATACGTATTAGTTCCCAAAGTTCTCAAATCAAAAAGCATGGCATATCAGTCCCTGTGCTTGTGGGTGGTTGAGGGATTCTTCATTCTTGGGGCGTAACTTCCCAGCTAATAGGCAGCAATCTGCAGTCCTGCTGGGGCCACGGGAACTTGACAAGTTCGGGAGATGTGTCCTGCACATCCCAAAACCGCCGGAGCGATCCAGGAGTCGAACGGAAGCACGTCAGGTCTCGTTACGTCATGCGTCATGCGTCTTGCCGCCTTGCCTGATGATTGGACATGATTGGACAACAAGCGGATGCAAGCTGACATGTCTTACAGCATGACGTCACTCAATGTGGACTGACTCCACCATCTCCGCCAAATGCTTCAATAAGTCGAACTAGTAACTAGACTATGCAGTGATCATGCTGGGAGCACAGGGGCGACGCATCTTTTTTCCGACTGTCTAATCAATCTTCTCCGGTGGTCCGGCGCTGATGATGTCCATTCTCCGCCAGCTGGCAGGCTTGAATCCCGATGACCAGCATGCCTTGTCTGTCAGCTTAGGAATTCAGCAGGTGAGCGCTCATGTTCTCGGCGATCTTCATGCAAGAGCTTGTGATGCAGGCTTAGTGGTCGCCACTAGATTCTGATGTTCCAAGGTCCCAAGGGCAATCTCAAGCGACAGTCGAATGAAGGGCATTTGCCTCCTCGATCAATAGAGCATTGTCTCGCATACTGAGTAAATGTACATGATGAGCCCCCGTCATGTCAAAGCTGTGTGCTCCCCCGTGATAAGAGATGGGCGCATCTTCTGTGCCCCAAATTGATAGAACAAACCATGCCTTGGGGCAAAGAGCTGTTCTCAAGCACCTGTTTATATAATGCCTCTATATATAAAGGATTCAATTCTATGTGCAAGGTGGCGCACCACCATGCAAAAAGGGCTTTGACAGGTTGAGCCCTGTTTGAAAAAGAGACTTTAGTGCCACACTAGTTGAAAGATGTCAAAAGCAGAAAGTACATCAACAAACCAGCTCTCAGCTCAGCCTAAAAAAGAACGGATTCATTCCGATTCCTGCCCGGCGACCGCATGGGATTGCAATTCATCTTGGCAAATCCTCAAGGCGTGCATGATCTGTGCAGGACCCATCAGGCCCTCCCCCATAGTCCACAGAAGGGCCTTGGCACAGAAGTCACTTGGGACTGCAGGAACGACCTCCAGGAACGAATCCCTGGATTGCAGGACATACATCTCGCCCGGTTCCTATTCCCAGGTAGTAGCACAGCTCTAGAATCTTAACGCTTGCACATTCACACAACACCCGGCACACCTGGCACCGTTAGATCCGTTAGATTGAGGAGGCGTTACCAATATCAAAAGATCTTTGGAGATCAAGCATGCAACCAACTCAGGCAACCAACTGCCGACCAGGCGCCTCTTCCTGTTTTGATGACAGCACCTCCAGGCAGCAAGAGCCAGGGCATTTGGGGGGTTGGCTACTGTACTTAGCATGACTACAAGCAGTTCCCGGGCAAGCCGGCGGCGGAAGTTTCCTATAAGAACAAACTGACCTATAGGAGTGTTCCGGTTCTCTCAAACACGCGCGTCCCCCCAGTCAAACGCACGCGCTCCGGACTTCAACCTTCAGTACAAACTTACCTGTTGACAAAACAATCAACTGTAACCAGTGTTGGGTTATGATGAGTGGTGTATGATGAGTGATGTATACTGAGTCTTGTATGATGAGGGGTGTATGACGAGTGGTGTATGATGAGTGGTGTGTGTTGAGTGGTGTATGATGAGTGGTGTATTATGAGTGGGCAGCGAGAGATGACTCAGCAATGAGAGATGACTCAGCAGCCACAGATGACTCAGCAGCGAGAGACGACTCAGTCGCGAGAGATGACTCAGCAGGGACAGATGACTCAGTCGCAAGAGATGACTCCTCCGCGTACCAAAGTTGTACTGCAAAATGGCCAGTTCTCAGCTTCCAACTCCACAGGTTGCTCCGCATACTAAAGTTGTACTACATAGTCGCCAGTTCTCAGCCTCCAGCTCCCCAGATACTCCGCGTACTAAAGTTGTACTACAAAGTGGCCAGTTCTCAGCTTCTAGCTGCACAGGTTGCTCCGCGTACTACAGTTGTACTACATAGTCGCCAGTTATCAGCCTCCAGCTCCCCAGTCACTCCGCGTACTAAAGTTGTACTACAAAGTCGCCAGTTCTCAGCGTCCAGCTCCACAGGTTTCTCCGCGTACTAAAGTTGCACTACAACGTCGCCAGTTCTCAGCTTCCAGCTCTACAGATTGCTCCGCGTACTAA